AAGCTCATCTTTTAAAGGACCTTACTGAAGGCATCAAGAAATAGCCAACAGAACATGAACATCCTGAGATTCAATGGTTCTGGATTTTTTTAAGAAATCATTTTACTAATATTACATTTTTCTAATCTCTTCCCAGGGTAAAACAGGCAACCTTTTAATCACTTATTTCATAACTACATAACAAAGTGGCACTGGCTTCCTAGCCTAAAGCAGTAGGGGCCTTACTGCCCTCTGACCTACTTCCTCTGCTCAGCAGTTCCTCATTATAGAGTCTATTATAATATTTCCACTTAGTTACTAAATTCAGTATCAGGACATTTGGGGCTGAGTAACCCCAAACAAAAACCCTAACAGGCATTGAACAGAAAATGTTATGATTTCATCTAAGACTACAAGGAGGCAGGCTGTAGGTCAGGGACCTCAGCACTGCTGGGAGGAAGCCACATCCTTTGCCTCTCTCTGCCATCTTTCCTGTGAGCTTTGCCCCATGCTGGCTTCTCTGTAACAAGCCTTCTGCCGCAGTTCCAGGCAGTTCCAAATGCAGCAATCTCAGAGAGAAGAAAGCCTGTCTTCTCTGTCTTAGGAGCAAGGAAACCTTTCCCAGAAGCCTCCCTAGCTGACCTCACATCTCCAGTAATCAGAAGTTGGTCACTTGCCTACTCCTAAACCAATCGCTAGGAAAGAGGATGGTTTAAAATAATCAGTTTCCTTTCCTGAAGCTTGAGATGAGGTTAGCTTCCTTGGATGCACACGGTGTGTGGAAGCAGATGGTACACAACATGTTGGGACTCACTGGAGAAGGAAGAAGAGGAATAGACAGCCACCAGTATTGGGTCAGCTAAGACATAAAAAGATCTCACTTGGAAAATTAATTTAGCTTTATTAAGTTCCTCCTACATGGTAGACACACTTAGGACTTTGTGTACATTATTTCATTTAGTCATCATAGCAAACCTGGAGGAGCAGATGGTGAAATAGGCTCTATAGCGATTGGGCCCAGGCAGCTATGTTCTAGCACATAGAACAGAGCTTGGTGCCACTCCCAAACCCATGGTATTTCCATTACCATCAGGTAAACAGCTAGAGCTAGAGCTCCTAAAAAAAAAAAAAAAAAAAAAAAAAGCCAAAAAACACATTTGTTAAAAACAGAAAGCATAGGAGACTTTCAGATGTTCTTAGCCAGGACACTTTTTTTGTTTCGTTAATACTCAACCAAGGATTTTTTCCCCCCATTGTTTTTCAGAGAGAGTTGAAAGGGAGGGGGAGAGATAGAGAGAGAAACATCCATTGAGAGAGACACACTGATTGGTTGTCTCCCGCACATGCCCTGACTGGGACTGGGGATCGAACCTGCAACCTAAACACATGTCCTTGACTGGAATTAAACTGGCTGGGGCAGCCATGATACTCTTCAAACTAAATTTTACCCCCACTGAAAGAGTGTAGCTGCTCTAATTAGACAGGACTGGAATGTGTTCTAAGCTTTCTCCCTGGGTAGCCACCCAGGTGCTTCTGGAGCCTCTGGAGCTTCCTTGAGCATGCTGAAGACACCATCAGCCATTGCAGCCCAGGTGACCCTGGACCACTGCGCCCGGAACAACTCGGGAGCCCTCTGGACTGTGTTGATCTCAAAGGGGATTTTGAAGATGACATGCTTGTTTTATAATTAGTGCTTCAGCTCTACTCAGAGAAGTGATGAAACTGCCCTGGAACTTAGAGTCAGACCTAAGTTTATGATGTTGACATCTATCAGAAGGAGGCATTGGGTAGAGCCAGGGAGGGACTTGGAGAGAGACCCTCTGGTTCTGCTGATTCAGGGATTCAGTCCCTTCAAGACTTTTGCTCTGTAAGACTCCTTTTGAAAAAAAAAAAAATTATTTTGCTCAACATATAGTTACTGAGCAATCCTTCTGGAGCCACAGCTAATATTATATTGATATAATCCCAGGGGGTTATAAGAGAAACATGATACTTCACAATCTGCCTTCTGCCTCATCTCTCAAGTTGTTCTACAAATAGTTTATCATTCCAGCTGTCTTGCCTTTTTTTTTTTCCTGAACTTGTCACTTTCATTCCTGTGTGTCTTTGCCTGTGTCAATCCCCGTTTAGAACCCTCCATGTCTGTTTCTATTAAATCACACTCATTTTTCAACTCAAGCCCTAGTATGTCTAAAATATTCCTCAATCCTCAAGGTTCAATAAAATTCAACAGCCTGTAAGGGGCTGGCAGTTTCTCTTTTTTGTCACCATGTGAGCAATCTGACTGTACTGCAAGGTTACCATACTATGAGGAAGTCCAAGCTAGCCCTGTGAAGAGGTCATATAGAGGAGTGCTGAGGCACCTGACAAGTGAGTGGAGCCTTCTTAGGCTTTCTGCTCAGCCCAGCCACTAACTGAATGCAGCCAAGTGAGTGACCCTAGTTGGTGGCACATAGAACAGAATTGCCTGGCTGAGCCCAGTTAGCCCAGAGATAATGAACAGTGGTGGTTTGTTACGTAGCAACAGATAACTAGAGCAACTAGTATTATAGCAGGCTAGTTGGCAAGACTCTTCCCTGGTAGGCTGGAGTGAGTCATTTGGGCGGGATGAGAAAGTGGAGATCTTAGAGATCTCTGGCAGGCAGCTCTCTGGGTAGGGCGAGGGAGATGAGTTAGGAAGGGGGCCCTGATGCAACAGAGGAAGTGCGCCTCAGATCCCTACATACTGTTTATCTGCCCTCCCAGCATAGGTCTTTATTGCTCTCCCTCCATGTTGTCTTCCTCACTGCCATGTCACATTGTGTCTTCCCAAACCGAACCCACTGGCCAATTGCTGTTTGTGTGTAAAAATGGGGGACAGGAATATGTAGAATTTGAGTCAATGCTTGGAACTGTCAACAAAGCATGGGTATATGGGGCACAAAGACAAGTAACTGAGTGTTCACAAACACCACTTTTGTAGTTTTGCCTGACAACAGGCTATTCTGTCTCAGAACATTTAGCCATATTTCAGTTAGGAAGCTTTTACTTTATTGATCTAGCATCTCTTAATCACCTGCAGGGCACTGCATTAATCTCTGAGAATTCAAAGATAAAGACCTTACTTTTGAGATGTTCATCACTGCTTGATGGATAAATTCTGGGGCCATAGTATGTTTGGATGTTAAAGAGGTTTTGTAACTTCCCTAGAAGAACTACCACCTGTAAAAGAATTCACTTTACCCCTTTAGGTATTTAAAAAAAATCATAGATTTGTTTATTTATCCATGCCTCTCCACCCTTCGTGGTTCCTTCAGACCCCAACTCCATCCCACCCTGCTTGCTTCTATGTCCAGATCTAATTATCTAGATCTAATTTTTGTCATGTAATCTACCCAGCTCGGACTTGGTTGGTAACTGATGGATCATGGGCTTTTTTCTGTGATGGGCCTGATACTAGTGATTTTAAAGCTCCAAAATGGGCCCAGAAGTTGTTATAACATGTCTTTCCCAAAGACCACAGTGAATCCAAACCACGAAATCTATCAATTAGTCCTGTGACATAGCCCTCTTACACCCAATAGAAACCTTACAAAATTTGGTTCTACTGAACATCTGCCCAATTTTTTATGAAAGTTGTGTTTTCTGTCAAATTAGTTTTAAAATATCAAGGGTCAAATTTTTAACACTTCTTAAAAAGTACAAACTGGAGCCAGCCCTAGAACCTTAGAGGCAAGTAGCTGAAGAGTTTAAATCAGGCAGTTTTAGGATAATGAAGTAATTAAGGCCAAGAGTGAATAAAATGGCTCAGCTCACATGTTAGCAGCCAGTTTTCCTATTCATTGAAAAAATATTTGCATATAGTAAAAATGGTGTGGCTCTAAAATTCCCAGCACCAGTCTTTAAATTCCTACTCTTCACTTTCGAAACCATCTAAATTGTTGACACAAAGAAAAAGAAAGAGCAATTTGAGCTGAAACTGGTTTAGCTCAGTGGATAGAGCTCAAGGATCCCCAGGTTCAATTCCGGTCAAGGGCACGTACCTTGGTTGCTAGCACATCCCCAGTGGAGGGTGTGCAGGAGGCAGCTGATCAATGTTTCTCTCTCATCGATGTTTCTAACTGTCTCTCTCCCTTCCTCTCTGTAAAAAATCAATTTCATATATATATATATATATATATATATATATATATATATATGGAGAGCAATTTGGGATCTTCTGAAAGAGCATGAATTGGTTGCTATGCCCCACCTCTCAAAAGCTTGTAATGGCTACTTGGCTACCCCTGGCTGTGTTACTGGGCAATTGGTAGCTGGTTTATAGTCAAGACTACTACTCCCCGCCCCTATCCCAAATCCTGTTCAAACTCTCTGGCATTAATTGAGCCATGTGGCCTTGGGTAAGTCAACTTCTCTGGGCCTTAGTTTTCTCATCTATAAAATAAGGATGTGGAATTAGGCCCATGATTTTATTTTTAAAATGTTATAAATAGCAAAGAAATGAAGAAAAGAAGAAAGAGTACAATGCAAAGCAAGAGCATGTATGTACCAGGAGTACTTGGGCCATAATCTGCCACTTGTGGCTTCTTACATGAAAATCCCATTAGAGATTCTCTAACACTGTGATCCAGCTTTAGGTAAGATTGTTTTTTTTTTGTTTTTTTTCCTTTTAGAAAAGCTGAGCTCAACCATTTGGGACTTTGCATTCCTGCTTTTTCTCCTCTTAGTTTGTTTTTTTTTTTTTTTCTTTAATCCTCATCCGAGGTTATTTTTTCCATTGATTTTTAGGAAGAGTAGAAGGGAGGAAGGAGGGGAAGGGAGAGAGAGAGAGAGGAACATTGACAAGAGAGAGACACATCTATTGCCTCTGACTGGGACTGGGGATCGAACCTGAAACTGAGGTATGCGCCTTTGACCGGGAATTAAACCCACGATCCTTCAATCCGCAGGCCGACGCTCTAACCATGAGCAACTGGCCAGGGCTTGGTGTCCTTTTTTGTTGTTGTTGATGTTTATTTCTTCTCAGTGATTGTTTTACTGCATTTTTAAATTGAAAATAGACATTTTATTTTGTTTACATAGAATACAATTTCAAAATGAAGTCATAATGTGTAGATTCCAGAGGCCTGGTGCATGGGATTCGTGTACTGGTGGGGGGCATGGCTCGTGGGGATCGACTTGCTATGGGAGCGCCGCTCATCCAGGTCAGCTGAGTGGCTGTGGACCGGCCCTCTGAGCGGCTGCTCCCTGGTCTGGCATCTTTTGTGGCACCAGATCACTAGCCTCTCCAGAGGACCTGGTCAGAGCCAGGCCCAAGGACAACAGCGGTAGAGTAGGCCTCATTCCCATGGCAGCCAGAAACCCGCCTCCCAGCCTCAGGGGTCCAGCTCTGTGAGCCTAGGCCATGGAGGTGGTGGAGATGGAGACGCTGTGCAGCCTGCAGGTGTCCGAGGAGGTGAAAGGGAGCAAGGAGGAGGAGCCTGGGGTAAGGAGGGGACAATCGCAACCTGGGTTCCTGCCCATTGGCCCAGAGTTTGCAGTGGGAGCAGCCGCTCATCCTGGTCAGACTTAGCAGTGCTCCCACTCCTGCATTGAGCGTCTGCCCCCTGGTCAGTGCACATCATAGTGACTGGTCAACTGGTTGTTCTGCCATTCGATCGCTGGGCTTTTATTATATAGGATAATAAACGATGTATAAATATAAATGTGTATATGGAAAATGTCACTGAGTTCAGTTTTCTTTCTGAATCCTTAAATTAAGAGAATTCACTGGGTACAATATCTCTTTGCTCCCTTTCAGTGCAAGCAGAGCACCTAACTGGAGAGAGTTTTAGGAGCTCAAAAGCTAATGTCATCCTTATAGACACCTCTCAAGCCAGGAGGAGCCTCCTGAATTCACTTAGAGCCTCAGATATATTTTTCTTTGTAAACTGCCAGTCAGGAGGAGGGATGGAAGAGAGTCAAGCTGATAAGTTATCCTGAATAAATATCATAATAAAATAAAAGCCCTGTTAGGAAGACCTGAGGCCTTCAATGCCTGGGACTTTGGGAACTTGGCCCCATATCTGAGGCAGGGCAGGCATCAAGCTTCCATCCTAAGCCTAGAGCGCCTACTCCTGCAGACAGTGCTGCGGGTGGGCACATCTTGGTGGCTTCTCCCTGGCCCCGGACTCCTTGAGTCTTTTCTAGGTCCCCTCTGGCCAGAGCAGAGTTGGTGCCTTCGCTGTAGCCCTTGCTGGCCTGGCTTTTCCTTGGAGTTTCCTAGATTGTGTGGCTGCTTTCTGTATCCTCCTCTCGGCCATTGGTTCTCCCAGTCATTGGGATATCTTCCATATTTTCCATTTGATCACGGGGTGTCTGGGAAGTTTGCCTGTAAAGAAATAATTCACAGGTTTTGAAAAGAGGAGAGCATTGCCCTCAAATTGAGTAAACAGTCCTTATTGAACACTCACATGGAGAAAACTGTACTCTGGGCACATAGTGTTATATTTTTAGGGTTTTCAGCATTTTTAATCCTCTTATTCACCAAAGATTTCCAAATGCTATTGGAGCAACCCCTCCACCCCCCCTCCTTGCCAATCCTCTGCTGAAAAGTGGTAGCTCAAATGGCAAGAAGAGGAGAAAGTAACTAGGAATCAGCTAAGCCAGATGTGATAATCCTGATAAAAATGATATTATACTTATAAAGCTTTTAAAAACAGTTCTTGGCACTTAGTGTTAAGCGTTGACCCAGGAACTGGGTTTAATTCCTGATCAGGACACATGCCTGGGTTGTGGGCTCGATCCACAGTAGAGGTATGTACAGGAGGCCAATCAATGTGTCTTTCTATCTCTCTCCCTCTACAAATAAATTAAAAACATTTAAAAAAGTAAACAAATATATTAATCAGTTCCTGAGTAATCAAGAGGAGGGGAGGCAGAACACCTTAATTTCATGTTTCTTTGTTGAACAGTGTGATTTTTAGGCCATGAGTGTCTGAGTCAGCAATTTCTTCCATGCATTATTTAATCCACCCTGCGAGGATAAGCACTTTTAAGGACATTTTAAAATAAGCAGGTTTAGCCGAAACTGGTTTGGCTCAGTGGATAGAGTGTCAGCCTGTGAACTGAAGGGTCCCAGGTTCGATTCCGGTCAAGGGCATGTACCTTGGTTGCGGGCACATCCCAAGTAGGTGGTGTGCAAGAGGCAGCTGATCGATGATTCTCTCTCATCGATATTTCTAACTATCCCTCTCTCTTCCTCTCTGTAAAAAAAAAATCAATAAAATATATAAAAAAAATAAAAAATAAAAAAATAAAATAAAATAAGCAGGTTTACCTCTTAGTAGGTTAATCAACTCTTAAAGAGGTGATTATGAATATTTCTTTAACATAGTCTGTGAATATTGATATTTTCTTATGAGCATATTTATTGGCCATATATACTATGTTTTCAAATACTTTTAAAGAACATAATTTAATGTATTATTTTTTTAAAAGATTGTGTATGATTTTTTTTTTTTTTTTTTTAAATAGTCGCCTAGCCAACAGCATCTCAACCTGTGAACAGGCGGTCATGATTCTATTCCTAGTCGGGGCATATGCCAGGTTGTGGGCTCCATTCCCAATGTGGGATATGCAGGAGGCAGCCAATCAATAATTCTCTATCATCATTGATGTTTCTATCTATCTCTTTCTCTCTGAAATCAATAAAAATATATTTTAAAAATATATAGTCAATGATTATAGTCATTATAATCTCTTAAGAATGTAACTCTAAATATAGCATTTTATATGGAAATTATTATGATATTTAAAAAATCCTTCTAAAATACATTTCGCCAACGTTTTAAATTTTTTTATTTTTTGATAAGTTCTTAAGTAATATAGTAATCTTAGTTAATTTCTAAACTATTTATGAGTTTATGGTAATTCTTGTTGGTTGAGATGGTATTAACAGGTTTTGAAGATTTATGTAAATTTTTAGATACTTTCATTTTGGCTTTACAGTAGCATTTCATGAAATGTTCATTTTTTTGAAGTTAGGCTCAAAACAGTGTAGTTTTTATATTGATATGATATTTACAAAAGAATATTTTTTTTACTAGTAACAAAGTTTATTTTCAAAAAATCTTATGTTCATTGATTGTATAAAGCCGAGAAAGGATCCAGAGCAACTACATCAATGTGGAATACTGAAATACTGGTTACTAATTGATAGAAGTATAAAATTAAGGCTAACCCTGGCTGGTTTGGCTCAGATGATAGAGCATTGATTGGCCTGTGGATTGAAGGATTAGATTCCAGTCAAGGGCACTTGCCTAAATTGCAGGCTTGATCTCCACTAGGGCGAGTGCAGGAGGCAGCTGATCCATGATTCTCTCTCATCAATGATGGTTCTCTCCCTTCCTCTCTTAAATCAATAAAAATATATTAAAAGAAAAAGAAAAATTCATTTTAAAAAGTTTAAGGAGCATTTAAAAAATAAATTAAGTAAAGGCTAATGTGTCATTTGAGGCTTTAATGAAAAAAAATGATAAAAATGCCTGATGATTAGAAAAATAATAAGGCCTGAAATTTCAGCAAGTGGCAGAAACAATCTTGTCACAAGTGCTGAAATGTAGAATTTTAATGATCAGAAATACAAAAGTAAGACTTAAATGAATGAGTATATTTATAAAAAAAAAAGTATATCCAGCCGAAACCGGTTTGGCTCAATGTATAGAGCGTCGGCTTGGGGACTGAAAGGTCCCAGGTTCGATTCCAGTCAAGGACATGTACCTTGGTTGCGGGCATATCCCCAATGGGGGGTGTGCAAGAGGCAGCTGATTGATGACTCTCTCTCATCAATGTTTCTAACTCTCTATCTCTCTCCCTTCCTCTCTGTACAAAATCAATAAAATATATTTTAAAAAAGTATCTCCATATTTAATGAGTGCATTGAAGAAGAATATAGTCATGCCTATATGATAAGAAGTGATACAAATTGCATATCTACCAAATTGGTAATTTGGCACATTCTTTCTTTCTGAATTGGCTCTTGGTAAAATTGGCCCCGTGTCATCAGCTCTCATTGCCCCATTTCTGACAAGTGGCCTGCTTTGGAAAGTAAATGGCTTTCTAAGACTGGTTCATTGTGACTGCTCAACTCCAACACCGTTGTGTGCTTTTTAAAATTCTCACCTGAGGATATGTTTTAGAGAGAGGAAGGGAGAGAGAAACATTAGTGTGAGAGAGAAGCATTGATTGGTTGCTTCCTGTACAGATCATATACCAAAACCTGGGTATGTGCCCTGACTGGGAATCGAAAAAACCATCTTTTGGTATATTGAGATGATGCTCCAAACAACTGAACCACCAGCCAGGGCCCAACACACCTTTGGCCAACATAAAAGAGGGGTGAGAGGGAGATCTTGTGTCTTTAGCCAAAAAAGGGATTCTTCATTGGGAAGGCAGGCTCAGAGTCATAATAATGAACTATTTTCTAGGAGGAAAGGAAGAATCTTGTCCAGTGTGATTCTCTTGTGCCACTCACCTTGATCTTTTACAATAACATACCAGAAGTAATGCTCCACAAAGCACAGTAACAGATGAGAGTGTTGCCACTGTAAAAGAAGAGAACTAAGCTGGTATCATCCTAAAAGTTCAGATTCATTTCATTTTTATTTAATTTATCGGGGTGACACTGGTTAACAAAATTATACAGGTTTCAGGTGCACAATTCTACAACTCATATTTGTACACTGTTGTGTGTATTTAGTACCCCAGGTCAAGCCTCCATCCATCACCATCACTTATAAGGTTCATTTCTAAGAATCTGAAAAATCTTTACTATTTACATTCCCGCAGAGAGATACAAATGCCTTCCCAACCAGCTTACTGTTATTAATATTTCTTAAGGTTCCATGCAATTCAATCTATTCTACCTCTGGGCAAAAAGTAAATTCCTTCTCCACCAACACTGCCAGTTCAAACTGTCCAATTCATGTTATCTCATGTCCTGTGCTCCTAATCCTTGACCTTCCTGAGCAGAGTGACAGATCAGGAGGGGAAAGTAAGAGGCTCAGAGATCAGAACCTGGGGTGGACATATGAGGATGAGGAGGCCAGCACTTCGTGAGAAGAAATGCTTGCTGCTAAATCCAAAGTCAAGAAAGTAGATATGGTAAGGGTCCTTCTCAGTTGTCCTCTGGCACAACCTCCCTCTTCTCTGCAGCTTTGCAGAATCCTGATTTAGAAATGATAGCTTGCAGTGCCATTTTTCTTCCAAGTCCATTGTCATTATTTATTTGCTACTTTTTTTTTTTTATAACAGAGGAAGGGTGATAAGGAGAAAGAGGGGGTGTTATTATATAAGAGAGGTCTTACAAGTAAGAGGAGAATAAAGAAATGCTTAGGAAAAGGAAAAAACTGTTGACTGAGTTGAAAAGAACAGCATGGATGGTGGGAGGATTTGAGGTGGAAGGCCAGCAGCAATGACAGTGTTTGAGATTTATTAGACAGGAAGAGTGGGATCCTCGTGTGGAAGCAAAAGGGCAGGTGAACATAACTATTTCTAAAACACCGAGTGAATAATAAATTCCAAGCAGATTTTGCCAACTTGCCTTAATATTATGAAATCTCCCTGCAAAAATCACCTGGCTGCCCCACCTGCAAGATGACAACCCTGAACATCTGGAGAGCCAGTCATCTCACTGTGGACCATGAGTCAATTAGTCTCCTAGGCCAGAGGTTGGCAAACTCATTAGTCAACAGAGCCAAATATCAACAGTATGGTTGAAATTTCTTTTGAGAGCCAAATTTTTAAACTTAAACTTCTAATGCCACTTCAAAATACTTGCCCAGGCCGTGGTATTTTGTGGAAGAACCACTCTCAAGGGGCCAAAGAGGCACAGTTTGCCGACCATGGTCCTAGACCATTAAACTTTCAGACCTGTCCCTGTACAACTAACACACAACCTTGTAGGCAAGGGTAAATCCCCATGGGTTGGCATTTAAAATATAACCCTATTGAAATACAGGTTAAGTATATGGAAATGGGAAACACCCAGATTCTCTGCTTTCCAGCAGTGAATGTAAATGGGTACAGTTTTTCTCAAAGGTAATTGGTAATATAACAGAAGCTCTAGAGAAGACCATATATATTAACTCTCCATTTCTACTTCTAGGATTCACTCTAAGGAAATGGGAGAGTATATATAGGAATAGTTACTGAAGTACTATGTAAAATAATTTTTTAAATGTTTACCTAAATATCAGTAGAAAATTAGTTAAAATGTGTTAATACCCATCCAATGGAATATTATTCAGCTTTTAAAAATTATGAAATGGCCTGGTAGATGTATTATAGTTTGACCTATGAACCTATGAGCTTTGATCTATGAAATAGGACAGTGGTTCTCAACCTTTTTAATGCCGCGACTCTTTAATACAGTTAGGTATTAGGCTCTATAGCAGTGGTTCTCAACCTGTGGGTCACGACCTGTGGATTGAGAACCACTAGTAGGGTTGCCTACGACCATCGGAAAACACATTATGATTCATAATAGTAGCAAAATTACAGTTAAGAAGTAGCAATGAAAATAATTTTATATGGTTGGGAGTCACCACAACATGAGGAACTGTATTAAAGGGTCACAACATTAAAAAGGTTGAGAACCACTGAACTAAGAGGTCACAGTTTGATTCTGTCAGGGCACATGCCCTGGTTGCTGGCTCAATCCCCAATAGGGAGTGTGCAGGAGGCAGCTAATCAATGATTCTCTCTCGTTGATGTTTCTATCTCTCTCTCTCTCTCTCTCCCTCTCCCTTCCTCTCTGAAATCAATAAAAATATATTTTAAAACTTGTGAAACTAATTTATATTAACATGAAAAGATGCCTATCTATAATAATAAACACATAATATGCTAATTAGACTGGACAGCCAAACGATCTTCTGCATGTCCTTCTGGATGAAACCGGGCAATTTCATGTATTGGGCCTCTAGTGATATCATAAGTGAAAAAAGGTGGTTGAAATAAAAATGAGCCAAAAGAAATCCAGTAAGCCATGTGTGTATCATAGGCACAAAAAAAATATTGAAGAATATCTATCAAAGTATTAAGTAATGGTGGGATTATAGATAATCTTTATGTTCTTTAAGAAATTTTCCCCTGATATTTTTGCAATGTTGCTGTAATCAGAAGAAACAGTAAAGTGCAAAACCAAAATTACTTGCTGTAGAAAAAGCATAGAAAAGTTGTTCTAAAAGAAATAACAACAAACTTGGAAAACTAGTGAAAGTTTTTTGACTAAAAATCAAAAATCTTTATTAGCAGAGATATTGTAGCCGATGATTCACTATTTCGTCATGTTGACTAAGCAGTTCAGCATGCATTTACTGTTCATAGAGAGATTTATTGGAAAAGGCAAGTTGATATAAACAATAAGTTGTATTTCACAATGCTCCTTCCTGTTTATTTTTAATGAGGATATATATAAACTACAGACTCAAACTCAAGAGAGAAGTAATTTGAACTCAGTGACTTAAACTCAAACACTTGGCCTCTTCCTCAGTTATCTACGGAGATAATTTAGTAAAGAAATTGAAACCAGAATCTCTATAACAATGGACCAAGATAACAACTGCCAAGTCCTCCACCCTTTTGGGTTTCCTAGGGGTGCATGAATTAGAGAAAAGGGAAGTGAAAGAGATTTCGTGAGATAGAGGAGGATTAGAGTTGGGGGTGGGGGTGAGGAGAAAGGCTAGTAACTGCCTGCATTTTATTGCAGGTTAGTACCAGACCTGCCACAAATAGAATCTCCATTTCTACTGAGTGAACAGATGAATGTTACAACTGTAGCTCCTGTTAAAGCTGAGCATATTGACTGTAGCAAAAATTTCAGATGTGACAGAAAAAGGAACTCCTCACTCCTAGTGTACTAAATGAATATGGCCATGTAAACACCATCATAGATGACATTTTGACTTCTATTTTACAATTGAGACTCCTCAAGAATAGCTTAGTTAAGGATCAGAGACCAGATCTTGGAAAAACTGAATAAAATTATTGATAAAAAGGGCTGCCAAGTGAGGCAGTAGATATTTAAGACAATGAAATGATGCACCACACTTCCTGAATATTTATTTAAATGTTAAAGCCCTCAAATTTACTTAATAATTTTCTCATTCATTCACTACTTATTCATTCAATATTTCTGTTTGACTAAAAAAAGCAACTTTAAAAGTTGTGCTATCTTTTATAACCTTATTTAAAAAACAAATGATATTGGTAGTAACAATGTGCTGATCAAAACATTAAGTTAACATTTACTGAGCAACCACTATTGTATTGTATAAAGCATTATTTATTTATTTTTTATTTATTTATTTATTTTACAAAGATGAGCTCAACCAGGACTATTCAGCTTCCTGGGACAAGTCCCCTGAGCTCCAACACTTCGAGGACAAAGGGAAATACTTACCAGTGACAACTGTGGAATTGGATGAATGTGTACCTGCGGGGAGAGATTGCAGCTCAGTTATGATGGTAGTCCTAAAGATACTCTTCTCATTAAGCAGGAGAAATTCTGCACAATTTGGTTCCTATCTTAAAGCCTTGAGAGATGCATGGCTGGCAGCCAAACTCATTTTAGCAAAGAACAAGCAAGGTAATTAATTCATTTAGAGGCTGGGCCATGCTTAAGAATTAGATGTGCCCTTGCATAAGGTACAGGTTACCGAGAGCTCTTCCACCCCATAGATCGTGACTCCAGAGGGTGGGGAGCTTCCTCCGTCCTCCCATATTAGGAGGAGGCAGAGAGTATTCAGATTCTTAGCAAAGCAGGTTAATACGGCGAGCCTTAGCATGTTTGGGAAATGGACTTCTTTTTTCACCTGGACTGAGCCAGGGTAGAACACAAAACAGAGACCAGAGCAAGAAGGCTGTGACAGAGAGCTGATCTCCCGTAAAGTATGCAAAGCCAGTGCCAACCTAGCTTCTCGAGGGAGGTGGAAGGAGTGTGTTCCAAGGCCTTTGCAGTTGTGGGAGGTGGGGCTTGGGAGGGCTCATTCCTGACTACCCCGGTGGTTCCTGCAGGAGGTTTGGATGGCATCAGCCTGGAGCCCGGTACCACGGCTGGCTTTGTGGCCACTATGGTGTCTGGCTTGGACATGAAAGCTGGTTCTGTCAGAAGGTACAACACATGGAGAACATAAATGTTTAGAATAGTTGCTGAAGCCGATCATTATTTTAATAATAGAGAGCTGTGGACAGGGAATTCGGAGGGCTGGTCATCCTTAGTTGCTTTGGGTCAGAGCTAATTACTAGATATTGGTAGTTGAAGAAGCCCCCACTTGTTAGTCCTAAATTCACTGATTGGCTTTTATTGGAGTTTCCTGCCTAGGGAATATGGGTGTATCCTATAATTTTAATCTTAATAAAAGGGATGGAAAAGCCAGAGCGAGAAGTAGTTCTCCCACTAGAGTTGGACTACCGCCTGGCCCCCATTTCCCAAATTAAAATCTTTTCTAAAGTCTCTTTTCATTTGTGTGCGGCCTTCTCCAGAACCCAAACCCTGAACCAGAACCCTGAATCTCACAGAACGTGAAAGGGGTTCCCACAAATAGTAACTTTCTCAGCTCCAGAAGAGAATGAACTTAATCCGTGCTCCAAGGAGCCCGACCTGGGCCAGCCCTCCCCCACACACTGCTCCATGGATCTTTACGAAAATCCCTTAAGTGTTTAACATAGTCAGCCATCCGGGGTGGCCACGAGACTTTTGAGAAAGCTAGAAGGTTTGCAGAATAAATTACAAAGATTAGAGTAGATCCAGGCTGTTTACTAGAGAAGACTGGTCTCAAAACAAACAAACAAAAAAGACACACAAGTGGGACTGTATTTGCCAAAGCCAAAGTGTCTGGGATGCTGGCCTTAGTTTATTTTACACACGTTTTCTAAATAAGGGGGAGCCTGAGATGCCGCCCATCTGAACGATAGTGTATTTAAAGAGTATCTTGGCTTTGCCCCAGACTTGGCATCTTTGGCCGTCCGGCCACATTATTTGGGCTACTTCATGCGCTCCCAGCCCAGATAGTGTGAGAGGTCCTATGCCCCTTAATCCTTCATGTCCTCATACTACCCAGACTGCCAGCACTCCAGGTACTTTGCATAGAGTACCCCAGAGCAGTGGTCGGCAAACTCATTAGTCAACAGAACCAAATATCAACAGTACAATGATTGAAATTTCTTTTGAGAGCCAAATGTTTTTAAACTTAAACTTCTTCTAATGCCACTTCTTCAAAAATAGATTTGCCCAGGCTGTGGTATTTTGTGGAAGAGCCACACTCAAAGGGCCAAAGAGCCACATGTGGCTCTCGAGCCGCAGTTTGCCGACCATGGCCCCAGAGCATTCCCATCCAAGTGCCCATGGCAACATCACTCTGTGTCAAAGATGACAGTCTCACATCTGAGATTTTGACTGTGCAGTTTCATCTGACCAAGTGTTTGGCACATGAAGGCAGAACTGGGAGAGGCCACTTGATGATTTTCATTAATTGGGTGAATCAGATTTGACTTCGATCAAAGGAGCTTAGAACTGCCCAAACTTAAATATAGCCAGTACCTCAGCCTCTGCCTTCTGTTTGTAGCCAGCTAACTAGAAGGAAACCTTTTTGGCCTCTCCATCCTCCCTTCAGCAGTGGCTCTCGGCTCTGGCTACCTAAGAATTACCCAGGGAGCTTCTAGAATTCTTATTCCCAGGTTGCTCTCGAGAGTTCCAAGGTGACCTCAGTGGACAGCCAAGATTAGGAGCCCTGCTCTAGGGAGGTGTGCCAGGTATAACAGGGTGACTGTGCCTGGAGGGGAGGAGAAAGGGCCAGGAAAAGCCACAAATTGGAAAATGGGACACAAAAAATCAAGAGTTAAGCCAAAACCCATTTGGCTCAGTGGATAGAGCATCAGCCTGCGGACTGAAGGGTCCCAGGTTCGATACCAGTCAAGGGCATGTACATTGGTTGTGGGCACATTCCCAGTAGGGGGTGTGCAAAAGGCAGCTGATCGATGTTTCTGACTCTCTATCCCTCTCTCTTCCTCTCTGTAAAAAAAAAAAAAAAAAAAAAAAAAAAATATATATATATATATATATATATATATATATATATATATATTTTTTTTTTTTTTTTTTTTTTTTAAAGAGTTGTGTAAAATAAGGGGCACATTGTCCCATGATATTTAGCACCCAAGATTTCAAATTTTCTTAACACTGAGACAGTGCTCAGGAAATTGGGATGGATGATTACCTAAGACTCAGTGGAAATGTGGCACACTGGCAGCTTTGGGCAATGCTGCTACACCAGCGCCATCATAGTTCACTTGCTGGTGTTTAGGACTGTTGGGAGGTAATTCTGCGTAGGTGTCTCATGTTTCTGAAATTCACTTCTTTTGTTATTAATACTTAGAGCTCTTTCTAGAACCAGAACTCTGTTTTTTTTTGCTTTTAAAAAAATTATTCATAATTGACACCGTATTATATTAGTTTCAGGTACACAACATAGTGACTCAACATCTATATACTTTACAAAGTGATGGCCACAGCTCTGACCCAGGCGTGCTGTGTTTTCTGCCAGTACCCCAAAACCATGGTGGACTAACATGTGAGATAGGCCAAACCTCAGATCCTCCATGGTTTTGACAAGGATAGCAGTCTACAGTTAAGTTTGATCTGTCGTAATAAGAGTGGATTTCAATCCATTCTTAACCATCCACATATAAAACCTGGATATCAAGCTCCTTTGATTTAAAACAGAAAATTTAAGCTAAGGTAAATTTTTGTTCTTGATTTTTAAAAAGTTTTGTTCTATTATGTAAGTTTGTGTTGAAACTTCAGTTGTGGTCCATGTATCTGAGGGATCTGTGGGGACCTGAGTGTTAGCAGGGAATGGGAATCCTTAAAAAACTCCCAACATTCCTACCTTTTCCAGGAGGGTAAGGACTCTCTGGCTCTGGGGTCACCCTTGCTGGCGCTACTGTGGAGGATGGCCTTTGGTGAGTCAGGGAGGGGTCTCCTAGAGAGAGGACAACCACATGGAATTTATGATCCTGCGGGTGGAACTTGGGTGGCTTCAGAACTGGATATAAACAACAAATAAACATACAAATTTAAAACGGATACATTTGGCCTCCTAGGATAGGCCAGAAGCACAAGAAATAAACTACAATCAATGTTTCCCAACTTGCAGTTCTCCTGCAAATACAAGCACAGACTGCAAACAGAATAGGCAGCAGGAATATCAGCAAATCTGTAGCAGTTCCCTCATCCCTAAGCCCCACGGAGGCAACATGGATGGGCCAGAACAGATACATCCAGTGGTCTGCAACACAACAGCGGAAGCCTGAGCTCAGGGAACCTGAGTCTTTTATTAATGGCATGACCATGTCTGCCTTTTCTCCAGGGGGAGGTGCTGTCTCCATCTTCCAAGGCTGTATATATACATGCATCCTTGAAAAGATCAGGGAAAGGGCCAGTCAGTCCTCTGCATCAAGTAGAACGCTTTCTCCTTGCTCTGCCTCTGATGTCTGCATGACAGTCATGCAAAGAGACAGAGAGGTTGAGGGGGAGGGCTACCAGTGGCCTAAACACTACAAATTCTTGGCTCTCCAAGAAGTCCTACAATAAAGTGAGTTTGCTATAGAACATTCTCCCCTCTGCCCTGATTGGTGTTGCTAAGTGGTTGGGCCCATGCACCAAAGGGTCGTGGGTTCAATTTGCAGGTTTGATTCCTGATCAAAAGCATGACCCTGAGTTGCATTTTGATCCCCATTACTAGTTGCGGCCCTGTGAAGAGGCAATATATCCATGTCCACCCCCCTCTTCCCCACTGCCCTCCTTGCCTCCCTTCCACTATCTCTAAAAATCAATAGATGGTGGCCCAGAAAGAAACTCTTTACAGACTGATTCAAATGCCTTTTAGCATAACGATTATTGCTTGTCTCATTTTTTATTCTTATTTCCAGTAGGACATGATCTCACTCATCTAGGGGAAATGGTGAACAACATAGATTGATGAACAAGAACAGACCCAGAGATAAGGAGCCATGGATCAGACTGTTGGACCTCAAAGGGAGGGTGGGGATAAAAGGGAGAGATCAACCAAAGGACTTGTGTGCATCCATATGAGTCTAACCAGTGGTCGAGGACAATAGGGGGTGGGGGCATCTTTGGGGGTGGGGGTGGGGGATTGGAATGGGGAGTTGAGGACAAATATGTGATACCTTAATCAATAAAGAAAATTTTAAAAAATTAATAGAAAAAAATCATCCGGTGAGGATAAATAAATAAACAAAACCTCCCCTCATCTCCTTACCCCTCTGCTTCCCCCATAGAGAAGTTGGCAGTTTTCACAAATGTTATATGAGAAAGGATCTCACTCACTGCTGGACATGCACCAAGTAAGCAATGAATGTTAAATCCGAAGACTGTGGCTTAATGTTTTTCCTAGAGTAAGTGGATTAGAATTTCTGGAAATGGCACAATTGGCTTCCGCCACAAGATTAATTGGCTCCTTCTGGCATGGTTATCTAGTTGTAGGTGGTTTACAAAAATCGATTCTTGGGACTTTCCCTCACACTTGCTCTGGACACTGACTGGACACCCGACGTGGGTAACCAAGTTAGGGAATCTGTGCCATGTGTCTCCGCAGTCTGGGATGGATACCTTTGGAGAATGACAATAATTTCCCTGCATGCCTTCTAGGGAGAAACTGGAAAAGCCCTCAGGGAAGTAACTACACTTGAGCACACATCCTTATCTGTAGCCAAATTCTTGCTACCACAATCTTAAAGCATCGATGGTAATAATAGTTAATATTTACCAGGTTTCACTGAATCTTTCTACAAACAAGCTACAATGTTGACATCAGGTCCATTTTCTATATGAGAAACCAGAGTTCCGAGATATGAAGGCCCTTGCTCAAAGTCTCATAGGTTTAGGTAAGTGGCAGAGCCAAGATTTGAAGCCAGAATTGTGTGACACCCTCTCCGCTCCAAAGCCCATGTATTTCCACCTTCAGAGGTGTTGTTTAGAGGCCTGTTGGTTAATTTAGCCTCAGACCTAAATACAAAACTCTTGGCCCCTCAGATGGGCTATTCCATTACCCACACTGCAGCATTGAAGTCTATGTGTCCTTGGCAAGAGTGGCAGGGAGGGATGGTGCAGGGGCAGGTACTTACTGATGCATTTGAGAGAGGGAATTGTCCACTGGGTAATATTTGTGTCCTTGTTATGAAGACACTTAGTTAGGCTGGACGTTCCAGCTTTACGCTTGAAACCAGAGTTACAAATATAACGCTCTCTGGAGTTCTCGTTATAACTCTTGACTTGGATGTTTGCGTGTTCAATAGATGTTGGAGTAGCGCATGTGGTACCTGCAAAAGTACAGATAAGAGTGTAAATTTGAGAGATGAACAAATTTCAGCTTGTTCAGAAATCTTCCAGAAGCTCCTTGCCTTAGGTGCCAGACTTTCAGCATAGCTAGACATGGAGGAGTTATCAGAGAAACCCTCCTTTGCTTCACTCTTACTTCCCATCCTCCCCAGCCTCAATCAATCTCAAAGGTATCCATCTCTCTATTTCTCTTCTGCCTCCTCCATACCAAGCCTTTGAGTTCTCTTGCCTAAACAAACAGCAATAGACTCCAGGCAGCCAGCATCATCTTTATAAATGCATATTTGATAGCTTTACTCTTTCCTGATATTCTGCTGCTCTTAAAATAAAAACTAAAATTGTTAAGCCTTCAAGGATCATCCAGAACTGGCCCTGCTTACCTCTCTAACTACTCTTTCCCCTGACCACAGTGGCCTCTGGTCCCCTAATGCCACTTACCAGGCTTTCCCTTCCTCCCCTCGCCCCCCTCTTGGCTGGCCATCTGTCATCCTTCCTCAGGAAAGTCTTTCCTCACCCCACAGTCAGGCCCTGGTGCCAGAAACCAATCTTTGATTTTGTTATCAAAGAAAATACGATAATTTCAAGAGAAACATCAAAAGTGTTTTATTCAAAGTAATGTCCATCGCTAACCACACATTTCTTTTTATTTTTTATTTTTATTTTTATTGATTTTTTACAGAGAGGAAAGGAGAGAGATAGAGAACCAGAAACGTCGATGAGAGAGAAACATCAACCAACTGCCTCCTGCACACCCCCTACCAGGGACGTGCCCGCAACCAAGGTACATGCCCCTGACCAGAATCGAACCCGGGACCCTTCAGTCCGCAGACCGACGCTCTACCACTGAGCCAAACCGGTTTCGGCTAGCTACACATTTCCCCATCTTTCAGGTAATTTGTGCATACTGACCCAATAGAACTTTTCTTGTTTTGAGGCAAACCATTCAGAGACCCAATTATTCACTTCTTTGTAAGTTTTGAAGTGCTGCTCAGAAAGTGCACGTGCCATCGATCAGGACAAGTGGTAATCTGAAGGATCAAGGTCTGGTGAATACAGCAGGTGGGTGAATACTTCCCAGGCAAGATATTTTAATGTGTCTTTAACTGGTTTTGAAGTGTGTGATGGTGCGTCATCATGAAGCAAAATTACTTTGCCATGTCTTCTGGCATATTCTGGTTGTTTCACAATCAAAGCATCGTTCAAATTGATTATTTGTTGTTAGTAGCGATCAGTATTAACGGTTTCACCTGGTTTCAGATGCTCATAATACACACACCTTCCTGAACCCACCAAATGCAGAGCATTGTCTTCTTTCTGTAGCGATTTGGCCTTGTAATCATTGCTGATAGTTGACCTGGATCAACCCATGATTTTATGCATTTGGGATTATCAAAATAAATCCACTTTTCATCACCAGTCAAATTCGATGCAAAAAAGACTTTTTTGTGTGTGTGTGTGCTATTGAAGCAATGTTTTACTGATGACTTTTCAGTTTTCCATTCAGTTGAGGTGGCACCCATTTTCCTTCCTTTAAAGTATTTCCCATTTCTTATAAATGATTGGAAATTGTTTGCTGGGCAACGTTTAATCTTTATGCAAGTTGTTTTTTAGTTTGATGCGCATCTTCATCCAATAATGCTTGTAATTGTTGGTCTTCAAATTTTTCAGTTGCCTTGCATTCTTTGTCTTTCACATAGAAATCATCACTATTAAATAGTTTAAACCAGCATTCACAAGTATCTTGAGATGGAACATGTTCTCTATAAGCTTATTTAGCAGTGCTTTTCTTCAAAATAAAGTATGAATTAAAACTTCTCGCAAATGCTATTTTTTTTTGTCACGAAATTCAACATTTTTACTGTAAAATTATCTATAATGTTAACATCTTCAGCAAATTTGACATATGAAGTTAACTTCTCAATACAACAAAATAGTATACATATCAAATCACATACATATCAACATATGTGTAACTCCATGTATTATTAGCCAGTACACCCAGTATGTCTCACCATCTGCATTGTATGCTATAAAAGGTGGGCTCACATCTGTTTTGCCCAACACTATATTCCCTGAGCCTAGTATAGTACTTGGCAAGAATAGGTGCTCAAGTAATACTTATTCAAAGAAGAATGAATAAAATTTCTTCCTTAAGACCAGGCTTAAGTTTGAACTTCTAATATAAGAGTTCTATTTATTTAATTTCCATATGTATAACCCAGCTTATCTAATTCTTCTCAATTTTTTTTGAAGAAACTAGAGGCAAGATGAATCTTTTCAGGTGGCTCTACTTTTGTGACAGCTGGAATTAAACACTGATTCCAGAGAGAGAAACCAAGATGGCAGCATAGGTAAACACCTGAAATTGCTGCCTCACACAACCATTTCTTTCTTTTTTTATTTTATTTTTTTCCTTTTACATTTTTTTTTATTAAATTATTCTCTGTGTACATATTTTAACATTGCCCCCCCCCCCCTACATACCCTTCCTCCCCAGAGTTTTGTGTCCATTGGTTGTATTTATTTGCATGCATACAAGTCCTTCGGTTGATCTATTATCTCCCCCAGATCTCCCTACCCTCCCACAACCATTTCAAAACTACAACTAAAAGACAAAAAGGACATCATCCAGAACCACAGGAAGGTTAGATAAGTGGAAATTCTACAATTAGAAGGGAAGAGAAAAGCACACTGAGACTCAGAGGAACTGCAGAAACAAAGTGCAGAGGTATGGAGGCACACACAACTGAGTATGCAGCTGTCTTTCTCAATCTGCAGGGAGACACAAGCTCCCAACTGCTCTGAACTCCAGTTCCAGGCAAGACTCTTGGGACCCAGACTCATATGGGGAGAAAATGGACAGTCTGGCAGTGGGCAGAACTCAAGGGTGGCTTTCTCTCAGAGGTGCTTGCAGCGATTACCAAGGCACACTGGGACCCGGAGGCCTCTTATGGCAGGGCTGAAGGGAACCATTGCTGTTTGCTCTGCCCTGAGACTCTGCCCTACCTAAGCTATGTGCAGAGGCTTTTGCATATGAATGGCCTGGTCCTTTGATATCTAAACCTACTTAACAAATTGCAGCTGAGTCAAAGAGACCTAGAATATCCAAAAGAAGGCCTAAGACCCCACAGAGGCTTGAATTGCTTCACAGCTGGGCCTCATCTGGGCACCTCCAAAACCCAAACAAAGAAGAGGAATCTGCATATCTCTCTGTAGCTCCTGCTGGGTGGCCTCAGGCAGAGGCTAAATTAGCACCTCCTTGGAGATCCAAGAGCCAGTGTACCCATGGATCAGAGTAGGACCATCCATATTACAACTCCTCAGATCCTTAACCTGTTAACCGGGGAGTTCCCTTTTTAATGACGCAACCTGTAATGGGCGCGTACTCTTTCACTAGGACGTGTCAGTACGTCACACCCGGAGGACATAATTTCATATTATTTTTTTATTTATTTATACTTAAGGTCCCGGGTTCGATTCCGGTCAAGGGCATGTACCTTGGTTGCTGGCACACCCCCAGTAGGGAGTGTGCACGAGGCAGCTGATCGATGTTTCTCTCTCATCTCATCAATATTTCTAACTCTCTATCCCTCCCCTTTCCTTCCTCTCTGTAAAAAATCAATAAAATATTAAAAAAAAAAGATTACAAAAAATATATACCGTCCCTCTCGGGACACAACATATATTTCAAGGACGTATTCATACGTCCTACCCATTCCCGATATTGTTTACGTTTGACGTATTTATAGGTCCCGCTTGGTTAACAGGTTAAGGGACACACTCAGTGGGCAGACTCAGTGAGCACCAAAGCCACACTGAAGCAAGATTTTTCCCATAAGGGTGTCTCCAGCACAGAAAGTCTCCCATGATAGACAAAGCTGATCCTCACAGCCAACTGGCCTGGAGATCAATTCCTCCCAGTGATACCAACAACAATTAAGGCTTAACTATAACAAGACTGTGCACACAGCCCACAAAGTGGTGCACTAAGAGTGTCCGCCTCAAGTAAATGCGGAGGCTGAGCTACTGGGCCCTAAAGGACACCTAGCACACAAAGCCACTCTATCAACACAGGGAAGCAGTCAAAATGTTGAGACAAAGAAACAGGTCACAAATGAAAGAAAAGGAGGAAAGCAAATGACTGGATATAGAGTTCAAAACCACAGTTATAAGGTTTTTCAAGAATTTTCTAGAAAAGGCTGATAAATTTAGCAAGACCCTTGAGGATATGAAAAAGGACCAACTAAAAATTAAGCATACACTGACTGAAATAAAGAGTAATATACAGAGATCCAGCAGCAGACTAGAGGATTGCAAGAATCAAGTCAAAGATTTGAAATACAAAGAAGCAAAAAACACCTAACTGGAAAAGCAAAAAGAAAAAAGGATCCAAAAATATGAAGATAGTATATGAAGCCTCTGGGACAACCTCAATGTCAAAATTATGGGGGTTCCAGAAGAAGAGAGAAAGCAAAATACTGAAAACCTATTTGAAGAAATAATGACTAAAAACTTCCCCACCTAGTGAAAGAAATAGACTTATAAGTCCAGAAAGCTCACAGAACCCCAAACAAAAGGAATCCAAAGAGAACCACATCAAGACACATCATAATTAAAATGCCAAGAGCAAAAGACAAAGAGAGAATCTTAAAAGCAGCAAGAGAAAAACAGTTACCAACCTACAAGGGTGTGCCTACAACTGTCAGCTGATTTCTCAACAGAAACTATGCAGGCCAGAAGGGAGTGGCAAGTAATATTCAAAGTGATGGATAGCAAGAACCTACAACCAAGATTACCCAGCAAAGCTATCATTCAGAATTAAAGGTCAGATAAAGAGCTTCACAGATAAAAAAAAAAAAAAAAAAAAAAAAAAAAAAAAAAAAAAAAAAAAACAAAAAAAAAAAAAAAAAAAAAAAAAAAAAAAAGCTAAAGGAGTTCATCACCATCAAACCAGAATTATATGAAATGATGAAAGGTATTC